GCGCCCGCCCCTGGCACCGCCGCCGCGGCCCTTCTTGCCGAACGCCGTGCCCTTGGAGGGTTTGTCCAGGAGCAGCATCTCTGCGGGGGGTGCGCAGGAGGGCACATGGTGAAATACACAATCGGCTCAAGTCATCCGGCCCAGTGCTCAAGCGCGTAGACGCGGTTCACGACAGGTCTCCCTGCAGCACCCAGAAGCTGCGCTTGCCGTCCGCCCACATCCGACCACACCCGCTGTAGGGCGTGCATTACCACGCGCCGCAGAGTGTCGAACACCGTGGAGCACAACCCCCGCCTTCTCAGTCATCCGCCGCCTTCAATATGCAGCCCAGGACCCCTACCCTGCCCGGCCTCTGCACCCAGCCTCGCCCATGCCTGCTTTATCCCACAAGCGCCCACCCGGGAAGATGGCGTCAAGACACTTGCGGTAAGAAAAGTCCTCGACGGCGCCGCCCGGCCTGACGATGTGGAAGCAGCGGCTGGTCTGCCCTGACACGGCCGTCTCCATGACGGTCACCGCCTGCACGCCACCCGCCAGCTGGCGAGTCGGTCAAGATGATGGCCAGAGGGGCGGGTGAGGGAGGGTAAGAGGCAGGGCGCGGTGCGCACCTCCCAAAGTTGCAAGCGCGCCGTGTCCCGTCCCCCACGTGTGCGTGTGTGCGCGCGCGCGCGCACACACACACACACACACACACACACACACACAAACTCACATACACAAACATGCATAGATTCACACACACCTTTTTCTGAGTCCACAACACGCAAATAGGCACTCGCACAAGGGCGCACGTGCGCGCAAATTCACATCCAGATCTACCGTCACATCAGGCACACCCATACACGATGCCCCCCTCATGCACGAGTGCGCGCACCTTCTCTTCCCCCCTTGGGTGGCCCTTCTTGAGGAGGTCCAGCAGCATCACCAGCTCGTACTAAGGGGAGGAGGGGTGGAGCGCGAGGTGTCATTATGAGGTATGAGGGGCGCGGGGTAACGATGTATGCATGGTTGTATGTCAATCTGAGTGGCGTGTGAGTGTGGACACATGTATTGCAACGGCAAGGGGAGGGGGTTGGGCACTCTCGTGGTCCAATGAGCGCGGGCTGCATTGGGATGCGCACACCGCAAGCGCACACTGGATACGGCTCGCCCCCAAGGCTGCCTGGTGTTGTTTGCTCCAAGACGTGCAGCATGGGCATGCGTACGCCGCAGGTCCCCCTGGTGGCAGCGGCCACCGCGCTCCGCGGTCCGCAGCGACGCCGCTGGTGGCTGCCGTACCTCGTTGAGCGGTTGCCCCAGGTGCCAGTTCTTGAGGACAGTCGAAACGTAGTGGTAAGCCTCCTGCCCAGACTTGAACGAGCGGTATCCAAGGGTGATGGGGTCCCCTGTCGGCGCATCAGCGGCCGCTGGCGCCACGGCCGCGGCGTCATCGGCGGCCTCGCCATCGCCGCCGTCCTCCGCTGGCTGCTCATCGCCGTCGCCAGCCCCCGCGTCTGCATCCCCCCCCTGCTCCTCGCCGGCCTCCCCGTCGGCAGCCTCCTCCGCGGTCCCTCCTTCTACTTGATCTTCTTCAAGCTGCTCCTGATCGGGCTCGGCCACTGCCTCAGGCTTCGCCCCGGCCTCCGCATCGCCGCCGCCGCCGCGTGTTGCTCGGGCCCGCTTCGCCACGGGCTTCTCTTCAGCGCCCTCTGCGGCGGCATCCACTTCTTCAGCAACACGCTTGTTGCCTTTGTCCTGCGCTGCCTGCTTTGCGCGTGTCATGGCGATCTATACAGCGGCAGCCAGGCTCTGGCGATCAAAGACCTATCTCTGATGGGGCTGTTGCCGTTGCTACACTCTCAAATCAAAGTTCAAAACGCGCACACGGTTCCGCAGTTTCACTGGAATATCGGGAGCTTCGTGCTGCATGCTTTGTGCTGCTGCTGCTGCACATTTCAACAAGTGGACCGCGATAACCTTCTAGCTTTTATCGTGGCGTGTCAATAATAGCTTAAACTCTGCAAAGAGGGTGACAAGTGGGCCTTCTTGGCGTCCTGGAACTGAGGCTGTTGTTTGGACGTTTTGCCCGGTGAGCCCTGCAGTTGACAGCTCCCATGTACGAGAAGCTTGGGAATAATGGCTCCCATACGCGCCCAAAGCGATGGCGGCCTGCCACAGCCGAATGGTCCGTCGTCGATGTACCACGCGGTCAGACGGGCGTGCAGCGGCCCAGGAGTGCCCCGTAACTATGTCATGTGTGACGGAAACCAATCCTTGCCCCTGCCTGATTGTGGCATTGCCGGTCATGTGCGCGCACCGGCGCCACCCAGGTGGGCGTTCGCAACAGCAGGAGTCCTGCGCGGAAGGCGGTGACGCCCAGGGATCCCGCGGTTGCGAATGGTGCCGCGGCTGCTGCGGCAAGAGCGCAGCTGTGGCGTGGCAGGCTCCGGGGACGCTGCAGGCGCTGGTAGCTGCAGGGGCCAGGTGTGTCGCATGGCGCCCAGCGTGCCCAGCGATGCGAGCGCGGCCAGCAGCAGCAACAGCAGCAGCAGAGGCGCTGCGGGCATCTGCGGCACAACCAGCAGCAGCACGAACGCCAGAAGCAGCAGCAGCATGAGCAGGAGCAGCAGCAGCATCGCCTCAGCCCGCCGCAGTCGCACGGGCTTAGCCTTGGTGGTGGCCCTCGCGGTGCTGGCGCTGGCGCCTGCGGGGGCGCACGCCTATGGGACAGAGATCAGCAGCAGTGTGGCGCTCTTCCGCTTTGTGGACCTCAACGTAGCGGAGTACATCTCGGGCTACAACGCGTCCAGGTGCGCGCCTGGTGGCGCTCGGCAGGGGAGCAGGGCGCCGAGGCTTTTCAGCCTAGGGTTTGGGCGCCGCTCAGGACACGCGGGGTGGGCACGCAGGCAGCAGGGAGCTTGCAGGGGCATGATGTGGTGTCCAGCAGGGTAGAACGACCGGCTGCGGCACGGGCGGGGTCGGGTTCGCCCGCCTTTGCAGCCATACATGTGATGGGGCCCGCGGGCGTGTGGTGGTGGGCAGGACAGGTGCACCGCTGTGCGCGGCCTGCAGGTGGTGCAGCCGCCTCGCCAGATGCTGCATGCATGCCTCGCAATATTCCCATGCCCACGTTCTCGCAACAATGCGCATTGCACGTGCCAAGCAACGCTCGCACCCCTCCTCCCGTGTGGCGCATGCGCTCATTTTATTGCTGCGCACCACCCCTCATGCAGGTGTGTGCACATGGTCAACCGTGCCGGCCGGACGGGCAGCATGCGCATCAACTTCGTGATCTCACACTATTTTGTTGACGAGGACAAAGACTTTGTCGTTGACAGATACTGCCTCAAGCTGTCAAGTGGGTGGTGCTGGATGCTGGGTGGGCTCAGCGTGTGGGCCAGCAGCACGAGGGTTCTCACACCCGGGGCGCCGCAACCACCGCCACGTTCTGCGCAGCGGTGGCAATTAGCCACATGTCCCGCGCCGCCCAGTCATCATACATTCTGCTGCTTTGCTCAAGCCTCTATGCTTGTTCACCAGTGCTTCTCAAAACTTGCACTCAAACCCTACCACCCTCAGGCTCCCCTGAGTGCACCCCCGCGACCCCCGAGCTGGTGGCAAAGTGGGGGGCGCTCTTCCAGCCCTGCCTCGCCTATGCCGTGGGCCTCGGCTTCGACATCGCCTTCACGCCCCATCTGGACGACGGCCTCAACAACGGCCAGTGGCGCAATGCGATGCTCATCAACCCGCTGCAGAAGTACGGGGGGATGAGCTACTTTGACTTCGTGATCAAACCGCTGGCTGACGTGATGGCGGCCACCCTGCAGCCGAACACCAAGGTGTGTGTTGCACGTGTCTAGCACATGGTTGTCTAAGCGTAGATGTGCGGGTGTTTGTTTGTATGTTATGTGAGTGTGTGGGTTTGTGGGTGTGAGGTTCAGGGCGTGCTTTTGGGGCGCCTGGCGGGTAGCTGCTGGGTAGTCAGGCAGTATGTGTGAGGCTGAGAGACCATCGGCGGCCACGGTGATTTGAAAGGCGAGCTGCAACACATGTCAGGCTGGCTGGGTGGGGGCGCAGCCCTGCCGCGGGGTCAAATTAAGAGCAGTCGGCTGCGTCAACCAGCCCCTCTGCCATCTCGCGAGCTGACTGCGCAAGATTTTGAGCTACGTGACGGCGCCTTGCCCGCCCACCCCTGCCGCCGTCCCAGGTGTGGTTTGCCCTGCAAGGGGAGATGTCGGCCATGGTGACCGCATACCCCCGAGAGCATACCAGGCTGCTGCCTTATGTCAAGTGAGTGCCGTTGGGGCCCAGAAACCCCTCGCTCCGCAAGTTTGCACGGCCAGCTGCACACCAGGGAAGCAACAATCATAAGTGCTGCTCAGATTGCAGCACTGGCGCTCGCGTAACCAGCCCCACGCGCCTGACTCGCGCTCGCGGGCGCTATCGTGCCTCCCTTGCCCACGACAGGCAGCTGGTGCTTGGTAGCCACCCTGAGTGGGCAGACAACGTCCGCGTGGGCGTGTCGACCAACTTCAATAAGCTTTGCGGCATGGAGATGTGCCAGGTGGGCGCAGCGTCCATGAGCTGTTCTATTGGATATTCCGCGCAGAGGGGGGGGGGCGTCTTTCAGCGAGAGCGCACAAGTGGGCATGTATGTGAGAGTGCAAGAGGGGGCGCTCATGCGGCAGCAGCGGCCGCACCAGCACCAGCACCAGCAACTTTGGCAAAGTAGTAGATACGCAAATCACATGGCAGTGTCAACCAAGCTGCACTCTGCGCGCCTGTGGCGTTGCCCGCCTGCGGCAATACTATATGTGTTGTGTCTGTGAGGCGTCCTTGCCTGTTGACCGTGGGTCCCGTCCCAACCCCACTACCCCACAACACCAGACTCGCGACGTCGAGCAGCGACTGGACGCCCCCGGCGTGCGGGAGCTGTACAACTCGGTTGATTTTGTGGGCATCAGCGCCTACCCGCGTTTCAAGTACCGCATGTCTGACATGGAGGACAGCACGCAGATGTTTGACCAGGAGCTCAAGGTGCGCGTGTACGCGGGTGCATGTGCGTGCGTCCTGGGTGTGTCCATGCATTTTTTGCATGCTGGAGAGTGTGCGTGCGCGCCCCCGGCATTTGCGTGCTGGGTTCTCCAAGGGCTGGTTTGTTGATGGTTGCCTGAAACCGCACTGGGACCTGAGGGCGGCCGCTCTCAACAATGATGAGACAAAGGCTTTTGGCACGTCTGCCAGCCCGCCTGTCCCGCACCAACACGCCGTGCCGCACCCGGACCTTGCAAAGCTGCACGGAGTCCCAAGCTTCACGCCCCAAAAACGCGCGCCCGCGCTGCCAAAAACGCGTGACCGCAGCTGTTTGGCGTCGACCTGGCCAACCTCATCAATGTGAAGCAGAAGGAGTTCGTTTACAACGAGTTTGGCATCGGCGGCGGCGCCTCCGTCTCGGGCGACTCCCCCGCGCGCACCGTGGCGCAGGCGTCGGACGGGCCGTTCTTCGGGGTGTATGGCCCCTACACGCGCAAGCTTGATCCCTGGCGCCTGTTCCTGCCGCGTGAGTGCCTGGCGCACGAGGCGGCGGGGTCGCAAGACCGGGGACATAGCAGCTGGCGCTGTAAAACAACGGCATCTGCAGCCCGGGCGAGGCTCTGGACTCGCGCTTTCCCAACCACAGCTGGCGCCCTGGTACTTTTGACAACGACCAACCGCATTTTGCAATGCACTTGCACCCCTCCCTCCTCCGCAGTCAACGTCCTGGTGGGCACGCGCAACTACATGTACGACTGGTGGACCGCCGCAACCGTGTGGTTGGCCAGGAAGGGCGGCCCCACCTGGCGCGTGGACCACGTTTTTATGTGGAACCTCAACTCCTGGGACCTGCAGGTGGGGGGAAAGGGGCGCCAGCCGGCGGGCCGTGACGTCATCAACAGCCGGTTGACGGCCTGCAGCCGCAAGGCGTCTGCCGAGCGCGCCTGCGGTCTTTAGGAAGGTTCATCGCCTCGGGCATCTGGGTCGGATGGCAACGCCTGGTCTGCTACTGCCTTCTTGCGTCCGCCCTTCCCTCGTCTGCACACTACCGGCTGCGATGGGGTCAGGGTGTGGGTCTGTTGCGGCCATGCCCGTGGAACCCTCACCCAGTGGAACCCTAAACCTTATCCCTCTCCGTTGACCCCACAGGGGATTCACATGGAGTCCACGACTAAGGAGGGCAGCTACCGCGACGACACAGTCTACAAGATCATCCGCAGCCACAACCTCAAGACGCGCGGGCTCGTGGGCTACGACACACCAGGCTCCATCCCGCCTTACTAACGGCGACGCCAGCGGTGACCATGCAGGCACCTCGCGTCCCCCCATTGCATGGCGAGGCGCCGCACCGCGCACTGCACGGCTCACGGCCGCGGCCCGCTGTTGTGGCCCAGCAGCGGCATGGCCATGCAGGTGTTGCTGATTGCCCACTTGTGTGCAACCCGTGAGGACGGCGCAAGCAAGCGGACTGCGACGGCCGGGCGTGAGCCGGCCAAAGTATTCACGGGGCATTCACTGCGCCGTGATGGAGACGCAAGCTATGTTTCTTGCATGCATGGATGGCCACTAGATCTGGCGCGTGGTGCGGGGGACGGTGCCAAGCGGGCCGTGTGCTGCCCGCCCGTTGCCCTCAGCCGCGCACACGCGGCGCGGTCAACGCAAACATTTGCGTCTTCCTCCACAACACGCATGGCTTGCGCCATGTGAGGAACCTCGTTCAGGCCTCGGCTCGCTCGTATGAAAGCATTTTCTAATGTTGTGCCCCGCCTCCACATCCGTGTGTGCGTGACAAGATCGGTGTTAAATTGCCGCTGGATGGCTCACACAATTATTGGCGTTTCACCCTTGGCGGCGGCGCGTGACAGCGAGTGAGCCCCCGGCTTGGCCGTGCGCCGCCGCTTTGGGACACCGTTTGCCACGGCCTGCCAGCATGTTTTTGTCCTGGAGAGCTCTGCGCCCCTCTGAGGCGGCCATGCATTTTGAAGGATTGTGTGCGTATGTGCAACATCGCAATCCCTTAATCATACATGGCAGCAGGGTTGTTCCTGCCTCTCCCAACTGGGGTGGGGCGGTTGCAGTCATGGCGCACATGGAGCGCAAAAAGGGCTGGCAGGGCAAAGCATTATGTGGTGTGTGCTGTGGAAACGGGGCCTCCCCAGGGGGTGGGAAGGGGGGGCAGACAGGTTCCCCCTTCAATACCAGCAGCAGGGCCGCAGCCGCGCAGTAGTGGCAATCCAGGTTGACTGACCTTGACCAAGCCATGTGCAGGCCACGCAGGCCTTTCACTATTGACAAGGCCTATACGTGCAGTTCCTGGTCTGGTGCGACGCAGGTTCGGTTGCAAGGTGCTTCAATGGCCAAGGATCCTGTGCTGCGGTTGTTTGTTGTCATGTGAAGCTGTATAGTGGCGGTTTGCATACGGTATAATAGGACACGCCTGAAAGGGTCCCATTTGTATTTCAAACGCTTCCCTACGACCGATTTTCTACGCCACAGAAGCACTCTTCATGCGATCTGCGGCCTGGATCGGGCGGGGAGTGGCCCGCTACAGCACCGTCGCGGGCAATGAGGATATTGTGGATGTAGCTATCGTCGGAGCCGGCATGGTTGGGGCTGCTGTTGCAGCTCTCCTCCGTGAGTGCCTCAGCTCGCACCCTGGCTGCTGCTGGCGCGTGTCAGCGGTCGCAAATGGTCTCTTACCCCGCTCGTTGCATATCTCTGCGCAGGCCACAACCCTCTGACGAACGGCATGCGGATTGCAGTGCTCGACCGACAGGCGCGCGATTCTGCCTGTCCTGCTGCACTGCGTGCATCGATGGATACGGGCGCGCAGTAGCGGCGTGCTGGACACGAGACCATCCAACATAATGCCGATGCGGCTGTGCCGCAAAGGCACTTACTCGCACTGCTGCAGCTGGTAGCGTTGAGGTCAACATGCAGGGGTGCGTGGCCATCACACCCAAATGTCCCCCGTGCCCGGCGCTCTCGCGAGCGCTGCGCAGCCGCCGCCGCTATCATTGGAGGCGCCGCAATACCCGGACCTTCGGGTCAGCACCATAACGCCGGCGAGCGTGGAGACGCTGCAGCGGGCCGGCGCGTGGGACGAGGTCGGGCCGCCCGCCAGCGCAGAGTTTACTCATATGCAGGTGTGTTTCCTGCACATCCAACGACAGGCCGCCGCCACAACGCCCTCCTTGACGTGGCAGCACATGGGCTGTCGGGAGTCCTTACAGAGGGCTATGCCCGCTGGGCTGCGTCTTGCGCTCTACACTCGACACAAGGCGACTGCCAACAGACTTGTGGTGGCGCCGCCCCGCTTGCGCGGGGCGTTCAAAACACAGCATTGAAATAAGCGGCGGACCGCTCGCCTTCTCTAGTCCTCCATGCACTTAGCCACCTGCGTCCCCCCTCCCCCTACCACCTGAACTCGCTGCGGCCCTGCAGGTATGGGATTTCGCAGGCCCGGGCCACGTGCGGTGGTCGGCCGGTGACGTGGGCGCGCGCCGCATGGGAGTGGTCGCGGAGAACCGCACTCTGCAGGCCGCGCTGCTGCGCGCCGCGACGCGCGCCGGTCCTCGGGGGCGGCCGGTGAGGATTTGCCGAATGCGAGGGCGGCGCGCGCTGCGCGGCTGGCGCGCGCTGCGCGGCTGGTGCGCTGCAAAGCCGACCTTCCGGCCACCGGGGCACCTGCCTCGCCGCCTTGGGTGCTGGCAGAAGGCGAACCAAGCACACTGATACTGGCTGCAATGCTGCTGGGAATGATCAATCTCATCAACGGCCTGACACGATGCTAGCAGTGGTGGCTTGCATGATGACGTTGCTTGGGTTGTGCAACGCGCAGGTTGAGCTGATTACTCCTGCCTCGCTCGAGTCCCTCCAACTCCCTGAAGACCCCGAGGAGCGCGCTATTGGCAGCAGCAGCAGCAGCAGCAGCAGAAGCAGCAGCAGTAGCAACACTGGTGGCAGTGGCAGCAGCGGAGACAGCAGCAGCAGCAGCAGCAGTCAGCTAGCTGAGCTATCCCTGGCCGGTGGCCGGCGGCTACGCGCGCGGCTGGTGGTGGGGGCCGACGGCGGGCAGTCGAGGGTGCGGGAGCTGGCCGGACTCAGGGCGGCGGGTTGGGCCTACAACCAGCGCGGTGTCGTCGCGACAGGTGGGCCCTGTTGTGGGCATGACACGTGCTGATGGGCGGGCTGCCGGCTGGTGATGCAGCGCGCCTCCAACTGAAGCAAACGGGCCAGGCAGGCGCAAGGCAGCTGGGGGATGCAGCCTTCACAGCCGCATGGCTGTCAACGTGCCTACCATGTGGCATGCTGGTTGCAACCACCCTGCTTCACTTACACACACACACACACACACACACACACACATTTACACGCACATGCACGCATGCAAATACACGCACATTTACACGCACGTGCACGCATGCAAGTACATGCACATGCACACATACACACACGCACACACACTCACACATCAACATAAAAACGCTCCTGCATGCAGTCGCCACATCTGAGGCCAATGCGACCGCGTGGCAGCGCTTCCTGCCCGACGGGCCCCTGGCGCTGCTGCCCGTGAGGGGCGGCTACAGCTCCATCGTTTGGACCAACACGCCAGAGGGCGCCAGGCGGCTGGAGGCCATGGACAGCGACGCATTTGCTGGTGGGCACAGCTCGCAAATGTGTTTGTTGAGGGGCGCGTGTGTGTGTGTGTGTGTGTGTGTGCGCGCGCGCGTGCGTGCGTGCGTGTGTGCGTGCATGCGCATGTGTGTGTGTATGTGTATGTGATTCTGTGTGTACGAGGGCGTGTGGAATCGCATGCTTGTGTGCGGTGCAGACGTTGGCAGTGTGCATGCAAGCTTTTTAGGTGCAGGGGGTCAGCCAGGGGTAGGTAGGGGCCGATGAGAACGCAAGCAGCGGCAACAGGGCGCCGGCCGGCGTTGCGAGCAGCATGGGCTGCCCTTGCTTGAGCAGCCAGATTCCACGCCCGGCTGACACCCGGCCGCCCCCACGCGCGTGCACCTGCATGCATGCGTGCTCCGCCCAGCGGCGGTGAACGCCGCGCTGCAGGGCGGCCCTCAGGAGGAGGGTCACCAACCGCTCGCCGCGCTGTCGACGGCGCTGTCGGGCGCGCTGCGGATGGGCGTGGGCGCGGCTGCAGGCGTCGCGGGCGCTGTCACAGGCGCATTGGGTGGCATTGGTGGCAGTGGCAGCAGAAGCAGCAGAAGCAGCAGTGGTGGTGATGGCGGTTTTCAGGCGCCGCCGCTTGTCCTAGGGTTTGTCGGGGATCGGCCAAAGTCGTTCCCTCTGCAGATGCGGCACAGCGGCCGGTGAGGCGCGGCACAGCTCGGCAGCTTGGGTGCTGTGCTGTTGTTTGTGAATGCGAATCCGCTAATTCCGTCATGGGCGAGCAGCGTGTCGCAGCGGGGTGCGGCGCGGCAGGGGGTCTCGCGTGCGAGTCATGGCGGCAGGCAACACGGCGCGTCGGCTGCTGCTGCAACTTTGGCGCTAATCCTGCGCTCTGCACTGAAACGCCCCGTGGGCGTGAACGCACACGAACGCACGCGCGCACACACACACACACACACACACACACACACACACACACACACACACACACACACACTCACACACACGCACGCTCTCTCTCTCTCCTCCACTCAACAGGTACGCTCTGCCCCGGCTAGCCCTGGTGGGCGACGCCGCGCACACGGTGCACCCCCTGGCCGGCCAGGGCGTCAACCTCGGGCTGGGCGACGCGGCCGCGCTGGCAGAGGCGCTCGCGGGCGCGCGCGAGGTGCGGCGCGCGGCGCGGCGCCCAGGCCGTGCGAGCCAGGAGTGGTTCAAGGGCTGGATGTTTGATCAGTTCGGCAAGAAACCATGGTCGCCCTCGTGTGCTCTGCACCAAATGCACAGGTTGCCATCTACGCCGCACAGCAAACGCTCCGACACGCAGGACCAGCTGCACATCCACGTATGCTGGGCAGCAAACGCCCCGACAGGCGCCCACGCGCCTGCACGCCCACGCTTCCAATCCCCCACTCGCCCCACTCGCCCCACTCGCCCCACTCGCCCCACTCGCCCCACTCGCCCCCAC